GATTCCCTGTATTTTCAGTTCCTATCTGTACCAGTGTACATCCTCTGGTCTAGCCAGACTTGCAAGGTAGAATTCATGTCATGATAGTGGGAGCGGGGAGGAAACATTTAGGAACTAGAGGAAAGTTGTATTTTTCATCGGCTAAGCCCTAATTTATACCATGTTCTCTTCCCACTGTACTTGTATGGTCTTGTTTTACCTGATCATCCAAGGATTGTTTTTTGCTTGTTTAAAACCTAAAATTTGTGATCTCTACTTGTCATAAAAGCAAGTATATTCTAATTCCACCTTTAAAATCTCATTAACTTATTTAAGTTTAAAAGTCTTTTTTGTGATTTACTCTAAATTTTCCTCTTAAGGTTCCACTTGCTTTTGAAATATACTACCTTTTTCTCTTCCCAAGAAGTACATATAATTTCTTTAGATAGATTGTTCTCCATTAAAGGATCACAGCTCAAATACATAGTTTTTTCACTTTCTACTAATCTACATTATGCTATGAACTTATAACAAAATAACAAACCTAATATTTTAACATAGTTTTGTTGGCATATACTTTATATAATACAATTTGTTTGTTCAATCACATAAAGAAGATTCTTATAGTCATCACCACAATTAATTTCAGAACAATTTTCTTCTCATACTGGTTTTTTTTCCTGTTTCCACCCCATCTTCCTCTGCCATGACCCTAAGCAATAACTGAATAATTTTAAAGTTAGAATATTACCTGGTATAGTTGTCACAAGCTGACCAAGTGACCTGAAAGTGAACTGAGACTATTTCTACCTAAATGGTTCTATGAACATTATTTACTGCACTCACATCTGGAAAAATTTCTGTCTGCTTTAAAACATCACACCTGCTATTTGACATGGCTGGTGTACCTGTTTCCACTTTAGATAAAATCTGGTATATATACGTATATATGCAGATGACTGATTTGCCTAAGGAGTGATATTTTAGTTAGCAACTCACCATTTCTAATAGAAAAGAACAGACAGGCTCTGTTCTTTTTAATCAGCAATATCTTCTCTTTTTTAAATATTTTTTTCAGCAATATCTTCTACACACTGCCCTGGCATTGGTGAAAAACCAGAGCCAAGGTGTTTATACTAATTGACCTATTGGAGGGTAGATTTAAGGCTTACTGGCTCAGAGCAAAGCCACCAAAATCATGTTCAATATTCAGATGATTATTAAATGAATAAAGGTGAAAAATATTAGAGCAACTAGGTGTATCTAACATTTCAGAAACCAGAGATGTTGGAAAATTGGCTAAGCTACAAAATACCACCTAAAATATGAAATACACAAAAAGGATCTCAGAAAATTAACAGTGATATAAGTAAAATTTTGTTATTGTTTTTGGATTTTAGTACAGATATTTGGTAAATGGATATATGTTATCCTAATTTAATTTTATTTGTTCCTTCAATTATAGGCGAATGTTAAGCGTAAAGATTGTATTGAATATCAGCAGGATAAAGTTGCCTTAACTCTGGCTCGTCTAGCTCACCATGTCGAAGTCGAGAAACAGCAGAAAGAAGAGAAGAATAGAGCATTCCGGGTATGTGGCTATGTTAATTGGTGTTTTAATAAATGACAGGATCATTTTATTTTCTATGCATCATAAAGAGAAACCATTCATTAAAAAAATGTGAGTTCCAGTTCATCTTGTACTGAAAGTAGATGATCAATTTAGTAGAATTCATGATAGCATATAACATTCAGATTTCAGTTTATGGAATTATGGCCTCATAAAGAAAAACAAAATTAATTAAGTGAGCTTTAATCCTGGGTATTAAAAAACATCTCAGAGCAGATGAGCAATTAATGACCTCTGGCTACAAAAACCAGGTTACCAACAGGAATTTAATCCTTTTTTCCCCCTTTTTTGTTAATTAGGGCCTTTGTAGATGTAAACTATTATTTTCTATCCAATAGAGCTGAACCATTTCCCCACATTTCAACCTGTTTCTCCAGATTTAATCTGCTACTAAACATGGAAGTTAGAATGTTACTTACTACCTGGCAGTGGTGGGGACTGTACAAAGAAGAGTTAATTTAGGATCTTGCATGCTATGTTTTTCTTGACTTTCTAAAACTCCAAATGAACTACATTTAAAAAAAATCATTTTATTACTGGCTCATACAATTCTTATCACAATCCATACATACACCAATTGTGTAAAGCACATTTGTACATTCATTGCCCTCATCATTCTCAAAACATTTCCTCTCCACTTAAGCCCCCTTTGTCCCCCTCAGAGGTGTGTGTGTTATACATTGATCACTGTTATTGGTTCCCCATTTCTTCCCCCATCTAACCCTATTCTCATGGTATCACTACTCCCATTATTGTCCTTGAGGGGTTTATCTGTCATGGATTCCGTATATCAAAAGCTTTTATCTGTACCAGTGTACATGCTCAGGTCTAGCTGGATTGGTAAGGTAGATCTGGGGTAGGTGATGTATAAGGATTTGCCCATTCATCTGGGTTACTCAGTTTGTTGCTGTATAGTTGCTCATTATATACAGTAGTCTGTCACAAGTCTCTACTTCTGTTGGGTCAGTTGTAATGTCTCCCTTTTTATTGCTTATTTGAGTGATTTACATCTCTTTTTTGTTTTGTTTTCTCTGTCAATCTAGTTGAAGGTACATCAATTTTAATGGTCTTTTCAAAGAACCAGCTTCTGGTTTTGTTGTTTCTTTCATTCTTTTCTTTTTCAATTTTGCTTATTTCTTTTTTTTCCAGCTAAGCCCTAATTTTTTTTTTCTAATCATTTTATTAGGGGCTCATACAACTCATCACATTCCATACATACATCAATTGTGTAAAGCGCATTTGTACATTCATTGCTCTCATCATTCTC